GTGGATGGCGAAAAAATGGGATGAAATGTAAGAATTTCGGCGAATTGAGGTAAGCAGGCAGGCGTCCCTTGAACAGCTTTTGGACGCTTTCACTCTGCTGGCCACAAGCGCTTAGCGTATCGTCTAACAACTTCAGGAAATTCACTAAAGCTAGGGTTTACCACAAATTTAGCCATAATTTGATTTTTTTCCTTAGAAGCCATGTAGACGTACGATCGATCGTATAACAACGACGACGTAGGCACATGTGAACAGCGCATGTCATCGCCCCGCAAGTCCTTCCCGCATCGCAGCCACCACTAGCGACACATTACGATCCTGTTGTAATGCACGCCTGAGCGACGAAAACCGGATGTGTGATATCTACTGCTGCTGCTGCTGCTTCGCTGAGCTGGTGTTGCTGTTTAATACGTGATTACGACCAAATCATCTACGCAATAATTCAGAGAATAGTATGACTAATTTGATTATTTATAGTATAGTCGCAGGTGTAATTAGTGAAAAGAGAACATAGGAAATGATTGATTACCAGCAATAATAACCCAGCAGGAATTAGCAGAAAATGCCAGTTCGTCCCGAAAAAAACTGTCCAAAAGTAAACAATCGACAAGGAGACAACTGATTCCGAGCAGGTTCACCCTTACCCAGGAATTTCAAGAAGGTTAGTACAAAACGTCCCAGTAATTGAGCCAGGTGCAGATGAAAGGCAGTGAGGATTGCCTCCACCCATGCGGTTATCATGAGCTGTCCCAGGACGGTTCCAGGTCCATATTGCATATCCACCAACCTAACATTCAACTCCGGATTTACCTACAGCATACAGAAAAATTCATATGACTGAAAAAATTAATCAAACTAAAACATGAAAATTTGTGGATATGTTAGGTAAATGAGAATACAATCTTGAAGATAACAAACCTGCTTTGATGCAAAATTCGAGAAAACAAAGCAGGCTTCAAAGGTTTTAAAAATTCAATCGAATAAATCAATATTTGAAGTTGCAAGAACTTTTCCAATACATTTCACATACGACCATTTAATTTCCTAACAAAATTGAAATTCGCTTCCCTACCAGTTCGGAAAAAACTTCGGAGACCAATCCAATTCCAGTTTTGGCAACTTTTTTAAACATTGTGGGCTAGTAGAGGAAGTGAGAGGAAGGAAAATAGGGAAGAGCTGGAAGGGAGAGGAGAAGGTGGATTGATGTAGGGGGTTCAAATCAAATCTGCACAAAATGACTACTTTTTAAATCTTTAAGAATTCAAGACAAGAGCACTCATGGGAGAATTTACCAATGATATTTAAATGTTAGGAAGTCATGTATCTGCTTTGATATTCAAAACTACATTTTTCAGAATTTCTAACAGCCAAAGACAAAGTTTTTCTTCAAAATCATGACAAGTATATTCTACAAAACGAAATGAGATACACGAATATATAAAGAGCATTAACATTCCAAGCACTTATAAACTATTCTCATTTGTCATAAGCCTATGTCGCCTGACCACCGAACAGCAGTGGTTTTTATGTAGGCTGTACATATA